TGTGTTGCCTTGGGAGAGCGTGTCTTGAATACTTGATAATTGAAGTCTGTTCGTTTAAGAAAAACTTCACATGCGAATTTCATGAGGCTTCTTCCGTATTTGTAACACAACGAATATCTAAAACACTCCCCCTTATTATCGACCCTCAGATACGAAACGTAAAAAGCATTTCACTGTCATAGCGATAGACAAAGATATGTCTTTTACTTTACCGATAATATTTTTTTATTTTGTCGTGCCCGATCCATAGCATTCGCTTATTTTTACTACAACTAGCGATATACAGTAACTGTGTCAATCTTACAATTATATTCATTGGCTGTATACACATATAGACATATGGTCGTTTACTATGTAAAGAATGTTGTAAGGAGTAGCGTTATACACGACTAATTATATTTTCTCGCAATTCGAAAAACCATTCAATAAAAGCAAGTAGCAAGTTTATCATACAAATTAGGCGTAGTTATCAAGTCTTATCGCCATCAAAAGTTGCCCAACATGGTAATAACAATGATGATAATGACAATAACCAAAAACAAGCCGAGATTGTGAATAAAGGTATTGACCTATTTATTATTGATTATTTAGTCGTAATGGGTCACGAGCACTTTTACCATAATTGTGATGCACAAAGATTATCTCTGTGGAAGGCTAGAAAGATGTCGATAATCATAAGGCTGATGTAACGTGGGAGGTAGGAGGCTGAACTTCTTTTACGATCGCTTCTTACCAAATGCAAACAAAAAATGGATCATGTGTTGGAATGAAGCGAGGTTATGCATTTCATGGACGTTAGGCTAACCACGACATTTGATCACAACATTCCGGGTGCAGATCGTGAACGCAATAACAATAATAATGAATAATAATGATAGTGATAATAACCAAGCCATAGAAGACGCGCGTGTGAATACAGTGAAAAAGGTTTGCATCTGCAACGAATGCTTTGTATTGTAGGAGATGGGATGGATTGACAGGTATTTTCATTCCTTCATTCTTGTATTTACTAACTTATCTTTGATCTACGTTAGTTATTCACAGCATTTTACATATGTTTGATGGGGCGCATTTCCAATCTTTGCGCCAATATTCTAATTACGTCATCATGAATCGGGAACTATAAGATTTGCTGATGGCACTATAATAATAATTGCTGGTGCTGAAATACGATTATATCGCCGCTAGGGGTCAAGCACAACTATTGAAGGTTGCACACAATCAAGGTTGCATTTCAGAGTATTTGTAAGGAATGTATTTGATATTGGTTCACACTGTTTTTGTGGAATCGAATATGACCCAACGAAAAATAAATATGGGGTAAATTTTGTGACACTTGACAATTCTGACCCCTGAGGCGCTATTATTACTTCTATTACTTCATTATGCAAGTGTGCCCCATATAATATACCCATGCAAATCAACTCTATTTTAAAACGATCTACAATGGAATAAAATGGCCCTTTGGTAAATCAATTCGCGCCAGCAGAATTAACTACAAAAAGAGAAGCTTTCCACCAATAGTAAAAAGCCGATAAGAACATATGTGAAACAACAAGCAGATTAGCTCGCATATAACAGTCTTTAGATTTGCGCAAGACTTATTTGTTGTAAACAGGTTTACTCTCCAGAACTTTGCGCAGACCTTTTGAGTTGCACAGATTACTCTCCGGGAAACGCATGTAAACAATGCAGAAAAGGGCATAGTGCTTCGTGTTGTTAGTCTTTTTTTTTTTTTTTTTCAAATGATACTCAGCCACTTTCCTTATCAACCAGTAGCCTAAGCGTGACTTCTGTATTGCCAGTTAAAATTTTGGTATTTCGTACATTCGATTTCCCGAAACGAGAAATCACAATAAACTAAAAATAATGGATCGCTCCCTTGTCAGCTAGCAAAGACATAGGAGCAGATAAAAAGCCCTTAATCAAAATATTTTCTGCTTCTTTTTTTTACTATCTTTATTTGGCAGACAATTGTACGATTATAGGCATGACATATTCACATGCATTGAATAATTAACAATTTCGATATGCCGTATCTGCGAGATTACGAAATATCGCACAGCGATCACGGACTGCTTCAGATTTCATCTGATATACCAATACGATATCAATCCTAGCTGATATATAGCCACAGTTATCAAGAATATCCATGCTTCACGATAAGGTTTATTATTGGGTGATGATTTCACTGCGTGACTATAGGGAGGTCGAAGATTTTAACTGGCGGGAGAGGTAATACAGAAATCACGCTCCTGCAGGTCGTTATATCAACTCCCCATTGTTGCCGTGTGTTCCGCAGAGAAAAACCTACGGTGATCACGCTATTGAATGCAATATGCTGTTACACCACAACTTTTCGCTCCCAATGTTGGATGGCTCTTATTTAAGACAGATAGGAGAAGCGTATGATGGTGTGACTATAGAAGGATTCGCAAAAGTGTGTGTAGTAACAGTGAACAGCACATAATCTATATAGATAGCAGTAGATATCTGCATCCCTTTATCCTTATCACTCAATATCGCTAACAGACTTCTCCCCTCTCCCCTCTCCTTCCCCCCTCCCCCCGTCCCCCTCCCTCCCCAACCAAAATGCGCAAACACTACTCAGCTTCCATAGGCCGACAGCATCAACACACTTTTGTAAATGACACTCTCCGCAAACAGGCCTTGACTCACAAATCATATCATTACGAAAATCCAAAAACCGGCCCGCACAATGAACGCCTCGAATTTTTGGGCGACTCCATCGTCTCTTTTGTGGTAGCAAATTTTTTATTCACACGATATCCAGACCTCAAAGAAGGACAACTCACTTTACTCAGAGCTAACTTGGTATGCAAAAAGTCTCTCGCCAAGTTTGCATTGCAGCTAAAACTGGATGAAGGTCTTCTACTGGGTAAAGGTGCGCTAAGAGACGGTGGAAAAGCAAGCGAAAAGGTCTTGGAGGATGCCTTTGAGGCCTACGTTGGTGCTGTATATCTGGATTCCGGTTCTAGCATGAAGGCCGTACAAAAGTTCATGGAGCCACTACTCTTGGCGGCTGTCGAGGAACTGACTCGTGGTGCGGTCTCTCACGTACACTCGAAGAAGGAATTCAACAACGAATCCAAAAATTCTCATTCAAGGAGAGGACTTCCGTCCGATTTGCAAGATCCGATAAACAAACTTCAGACGTGGTCTCAACGGAACAAGCTCGGTATTCCTATCTATCGCGATATTGAAGACTCACCCAATGCTGTCTTTGTCGTTAACGTTTGCATAAACGAACATTGTCTGGGTTCTGGGAAGGCGAGAAACAAAAAAGACGCTAAAAAGGAGGCTGCTATGGAGGCGTTGAGGACTATAGAGAGTAAGGCACGAATACACGGAATGCCGTTGACTGCTTTGGATGCATTCTTGATGAATCAGAATAATGTTGCGATGAAAATGAGCTATTATGAGCGAACATGTAAACATTAAGCAAGGAACGATATTGTGTCGAATAAGGGTGACAAGATTAATACTTTTGACTTTTTCGACTTGTCTCAACAAGAACTTGTATAACTATATATATCGCTTGATGTTTTTTTTTGTTTTTTGTTTTTTGTTTTTTGTTTTTTGTTTTGTTTTTTGTTGTGTTTTTTTTTTTATTTCCCTTCCCACCCTTCCTATTATTTTTTTTGTTCAGTTATCTTGATCAAGCACCTTGATCTTTAGTTTTGTCTAGTTTCGTCAAGCTTATCTTCATTGAGTACCTTGATCTTCAGTGTGGGTCAACTCTCTTAGAGATAACGGCGAGAAAGGGAGGAGAATCATGGAAGACACTTTGACACTTATCATTACTCGCCCAACTCTTTCCTATTACATATTCCATTGATATCCTGTCTTCGGTTGATTCACACCGAAGGTCATTGTTCTCAAAATATCGTTGAGGTTTTCAGTTTGAATCGATTTTTAATGTTTGGCTTTTTTTTTCTTCTTTTATTAAATAAATGGCGAACTTTGATCGCGTGTATTTGTTCGTGGTACAAATTGTATGGGAATCTACAGCCTATTGTTTGGAGACTCTCGGAATGTGTTTTGGGAAGCATACTACTACACTATACTACATTTAAGGAAACTTCGCTGTAGTGGGAAAAACAACGACTGAGTGGGATAACAAACACAAAAATAATCCCATGCAAAATTATTTGGATAAAGAGATTCGTGTACAGAGGTGATAAGCAAAAGAGAACCAATTTATGACATCCGACTGTTAAGAACGACAGTAATATTGGTCGGTCGGTTGTTCGTTTTGCTTTTGTCGAATGAATAGTCTTGTTGATTTCTGAATCGTCTCCTTTTCCAGGTCAAATGCACACATTTCTCTTCTATTTCTATCGTGCATTGTCTTACGGTGCATTATACATTATGCCGGAACGCCAATTTCTTGTTTGGGTTAGCTGTTCGTCTGGCGCAACTCGGTAAACTTTGTACTAGCCGTCGCGATCATTCACGATACAAAACGAGAAGCATTAAGCTTGTGCCTGCAAAAACTCAACCCTAATATACTATTTATCACAAAGGATGATTCTATGACCGACCGAGGTTTGTGAGTATCCAATCGCACATGCTTAATTGAAGAATGTTCGGTCTGCGCCGATAATCTGTTTCGCAGTTTGAATGGGCATATCTGACAGCACGCTTCGACTTCTCCGAAGCCATGTTTTAATTCGCTAGTTAAGACAATGGAGTTAAACATAAAGGGTATTATGGATCTGCAAGATATTACTGCGGACGTCCATTGTTATCCAGAAAACGTGTAATTGTGCAACTGCCCGCAGTATTAATATTAAAAGAGCTATCCGAAACTACAAAGATAATCACAAGTTCTCCCATCGTTCACCCGATTTATCATATAGTGACATTCATGCGCAGCATTCTGACAGATATAAATGGATCGCATTTCGGTTCAGAGATTTTGCAATATCTTTTGGTAGCCCTTTGAGAATACTTCTAACAACACACCATTATACAAAATGGACACGAACTTTGACGTATTAGATTACCCGAATTATGGAATTCGAGACGAACAGCTACGTCGTCAAGCATTAACGCATCCCTCTTATAGTTACGAAAATCCCGGCGAAGCTCAAAAAAATAATCAACGCTTAGAATTTGAAGGGGACGCTTATCTAAAAGCTTCCATAACTAGTCTGCTGCGTGAAATGTGTGTAGATTGGAACGAGGACCGGCTTACGCAACTCCGAAGCAAAATCGAAAGAACGTCAAGCTTGGCAACTTTTGCGAAAGCAATTCGGATTGATGAACATATTCGGGTTGGTAACAGTTGTCAGGGAGTTACAGACAAGATGCTGGAAGATGCGTTTGAGGCAATTATTGGGGCCATTCATCGTGAAGGCGGACAAAACCGCGTGGACCAGCTAGTATTTCCTTTCCTGCGCGAGACGTGCGAAGCGTTAGCACGGGAACCTCCAAGAACCCTAGCCAGCTTATCTACCCCCCTGTTTCCGTCGTCGCAAGTAACTGATTCTCCAATTTTTACCAACGGAAGACAAAGTCCGTCGGAGAGTATTTATGATGGACATGTTTTCAGTCCAACACCTGCAGAACCAGTCAATCAGAACCAAGTGAGCCAAATTCTGTTGGAAATGGAATCATTGAAAAAGGCAATCAAATGTCAAAATCCTGTGTCGGCTCTCAAGGAATGGAGAGACCATCTTGGGAGGTCTGATATAGAGTATAAATTTGAAAAAGCTGGATTTGAGCATAGTCCGTCTTGGAAGGCTACATGCATAATTAGCGGTATAGTTGTTGGAACGGCTGTAAAACCTGGGAAAAAACAAGAAGCGAAATCTGCTGCCGCAGAGGATGCGATTAATAGGATTTTGTATAATTCTTCGTTGACACTTAACCGGACTTATCAAATAAATTATTAACGTTATTATTATCATTTTTAATTATTGTGTTAAGCTTTTATGTACTCCTGGTTGATTAGTTAATAAACAAGTTGAGGTAAAAATGAGCGAGTGAGATAAAATGCTATTCTATTATGCTAAGAAAATACGTGTATTGATCGTTAAGACATATTGAATTGAAAATCCTTTTTTCCGAACATCTCTGTTGCCCATACGTACTATGATTCTTCTGTATATAGTTTATCGGAAACCTTGGAGCTATTATAGTGTCGAGTCACTGACGTTTCGTTACCGATTGTTAACCTTAACTTATACTATTACGTATCCACTGATCGTGTTGTTTTCAATATAAGTTGCAAAGTACTGCGTTTAGTATCATAAACCTGGTAATATCAATGGATAATCTGTAAGCGTTGTCTTTGGCGTAAAATAAATTACCCAACATTTTAATTACATTTAAAATTTAGTTTATTGAAATTGTAAAGACTAGCTAGATACACGTCTATCTTATAAACAAATCGATAATAACATAATAACATAGTGAAAAATGATGTATGACACAAAATCGATTGAAAATTATTACTATTCAAAACTCGCGTCTATGGCTTATTAGATTTGCAATAACAAACTTCTCTAATAACAGAGGACCTTATCTAACGTTGTACACATTACTTTTTGCAAAGCTGCATTTATATCCTCAGGATGTGATATTAAAAGCTCACTGTTTTGAAGCTAGTTGATTGATATATTCAGTCTCATTATTGTTTTAAGCTGCGGTATCATACGTATCATAGCAAGCTTTGGAATGAACAATTACATTATTATAATTACTCCTGAAATATACATACAAACGCATCTAGATTCTTTGTGTTACAATATGGCTAAACTTGTGTGACAGATTCTATAATACTACGGGACAAAATAGCCTTTCTCGTCTCTCATCGATGCTCCTGAACATGTCTCACGGACAGTTATCTAACAACACATACAAGAAGGCGTGCCTGGCTAAGAGCATTTACGAAGGCTTTATCAAATATTATTCGGAAGATAACATCCTAGATTGTATACTTCTCGGTGGTGTTGCATACAAAGCCAAGATAAAACATTCCGGAATATCAGTTGCAATGAAAACTTTGTTCCTGGAGTGTGAAGAAGAGTTATATGAACAGTTTATCAAAGAGGTATTCATCCGTTACCTAATGTAACTATCGATATTAATAACTGCAGAACGTTGAAGCTAAAACCTATAATATACATGTAATAGCTGAGAACCCATAAGCTGGTGGATGATCCCCCGAACGTTATACGGCTCTTAAGAACATATCAAGGTATGTTAAGTGATATTATTAGTATTAGTATTAGGTGTTGTACTTGACTGATAAATTGATTATAACTTGTACTTTTCCGTAACCTTCTTGACGTGAACAGAGTTATCCGGTCATTACCATATGGACTATGAGTACGCAAATGGTGGGGCTTTGCATGAAGACCTACAGAAGTGCTTTGCTAGTCTAACATGGGAGGACAAGTACAAGCTAGACCTGGAGATTACTGACGAGTTGACAACAGCGATGAATACGCGCTCTTGGAAAAGCAAAAGAGCAACGATTTGCTACCAGCAAGAAGTGATTTCGAAGTTGTTCACAAGGACTTGGTATGTACCGATTACACAGCTTTCTTATGTAATATATATTTGATGTATAATTGTCATCATACACTAATGTCGACACATTTTCAAATCAATTAGTCTTCAACAAACATTCTTATTCAAGGAGGTATTGCAAAGATAACTGACTTTGGATTGTCCTCCAAGGCTCTCAAGGAAATCATGTGCGTCTCGGACGATGTCGATGGCGTACCTATCAGACACGCAAAACATCGGGGGGACCATATATAGTCTCCCACCGCTCAATAACATGTCGTCGCGGTCCCCGTCCACGCCTGTGGTCTTCCGCCGCTGCTCAATAATAATGTCGCGGTCCCGTCCACGCCTGTGGTCTTCCGCTGCTGCTCAATAATAATGTCGCGGTCCCCGATGTTTCGTACGCAACAAACTTTTAGAATAGACGTGTTGCGAGCGCAACACTTTTAAGCAGCTCAACTTTCCGTTAGAATTCATCATGTTCACACAGTTATGTATGTAGTTCATAATAATATATATACAAGCAGCTCAACTTTCCGTTAGAATTCATCTTGTTCGCACAGTTTTGTAGTTCATAATAATATTCCTAATAAACGAGTAGTTTATATACTCTGAAATACACGATTGATATAATTGGGAATCACTATATCATTTAGGAGTACTCGCCGCTTGTCCCGGGGATTTCCCGTGGCAAAACGGTGGTTATTCTCGTCTCAAGCATTAACGCGTTTATATAGTCGAATAATTCGGGGGCGGAATAAGCGTCTAGGATTAGTTTCTACGATTGACGCAAGGTCGTGCCTAGTTTACGATCGATTGCGATTGTTGACTCGACAACATACAGCATATATTGACCCAATTATCTTTTGATATTGAGAACAAATCTTATACTCGTGGAGAGTGGAAAGAATCAGATGTCTTCAGTCTTGGAGTAAATCCACTGGGAGATTGGAAAACTTCCATGTCAAGAGGTTATAAAATGGTTTTGTATTTATTCAGATTGAATGGTTTTCGTGATTCTACCATGCAATATGCGCTTCGAACTTGGTAATACTACTTGCATTCTACCTATTGTATATAGGCATCATATCTAGTTTACCCTCGTCGTGTCTGTTATTCAAGGGGGTAGGGTAGTCCATACAAGAAATTGCCATACATTCCAAATGAGCTTCATTTGTTTGTATTTGAAATTTTCTAATAAACTCATCGAGCTGCGTATTGTAGCTAGCAGATAATACATGCAGACCAGAATCCATGTCGAGAATAATAATGGTGAACGCGTCTAAGAGCAACCATGTAATAGTTATCTTCATATTTGGCAAATCCATATCATATTGTGCTTGTGATCACAAAAAGTTGGTGTACATATTTCGTCGTTTCCAAGTAACAGCAACATTATGAGCGTTTCCGTAATTCTACCATCATCAGACGTTTTCCTTGCGAACAGCGTAATGGACGTGTAACATTATGTCGAGTAGGAATCCATGTTGGCGAGGATTGAATCAAGTTGTATGACATCGTATCTTGATGCCTCCCTACGTTTTTCTGTGTCTGTTACAATATTAGCCTTTTCTTCTTATTGAGACAAGTTTCGTTTATGTGGTGACAGCCAATCTTTTTACTCGTAAACACAATCCACAGCTTCTAATACATTTTCGGTTTAATATGCCACAATTATTAACTTGTAGTAAGTTAGCAATCAATGCTTTGATCGTTCATCTCAGTCTATCAGTTCACTGAACAAAGAAATTTGCTTGATCGCTCAAAGCGCCTGGTTACGTGGGTACGTTTGTAAAGGAACATTCTTTGACACATACTAGCCGATTCCCCAATCCTCATGATCGCAAAGATACTGGATAAACTGAACACGTTAAAGTCATTACGAGACAGTTTCACAAAATTTTTTTCACACGGGTAACTTTGCCCAGTCATTAAACATTTCTGTATAATAATAATAAATACTCAGGATACAAAAAATATAACACATTGTCTGATTGATATAATGAGTAGTCAATATGAATACGCGTGATAAAGTTCTAATTAACTTCTCTTTGCCATTATGTGCATTGTATCTGTTACCAAATTCTTTGACTTTTTAAATAAAATTCCAGTATTCTGTTGTCCACTTGTCCGAATTCCTTTGATGCCGTCTATTGCGAGTTGCTCAAAAAAAAAAAAAGTAATGGCATCAGTAGCTTACACAACAGGCGGTTTCTTTGTGGGGAGAATTACTATTATTGCAATTTATGTAGGGAATTATTCGCTCGAACGAGCAGAAAGTGTGTGGGAACGGCGTCGTACAAGGGCGTCATCGATCACGGGTGTTATCTTTTAGTCTGCTTTGACAAGGATGATAGGGAGTTCCTTTCGTAATTATGCAGAACGAGGACAGAAGAAATGATTTAAAGGCAACCGAGGAAAACATTTCGGTATGGAGACGCTTAGAAAAGCGCAAGAGGAGGGTTGAAGAGAGAGAGGGGGGAAGGAAAGCAGTAGAGAACTAGACAGGAGAGAATTTTAAGGGATAAATAAAAGCGTGAATTCCGAGTGATATACGACGATAACTCTCATTAAAAAGGAGAATGCATTTTTCTACCACAGGGCAGGGCAAAGGCGCTTCAGCAAGTGGAGCAGAGCGAAGTTATCATAACAAAGTCTCTTCAAGAACAGTTGGACTCGGTAATTAGTCGTTGACTTTCACATTTCAATGATTTTTATTCGATTCTTACTAGAGAATATGTGAAACGAACGAATCAAAAGATTGGTAATTGCACCTAATCATATACGACGTCGTTCGGAATCTTTGCTGCAGGCTCGCAAAGAAAAGGCGGATTTGGAAGCCTCTATGGAAGCGCGTGCGAAAAACTTTCAACAAACCATGTCCCAGTTACAAATCAATCAATCGAATTCAAGGTACCCAATAACCCCAGTAACCCCATACCCGTTCCAATATAACAGGGCCTGTTTTCCATTGATCTGTATTCGCCTTTTTTACATTCCTCCCTTTTTTTCCCAATTATTTTAATCGCGCGCGCATATCAATTTTTCACATTCAGCGAATCGCCCAACACGAAAACATCCGGCCCGAGTCTAGTTGATCCACAGTTGCTCAAGGAGGAATTGGACGAGGCAAACGAGAAAATCCGACAACAAGAATCCGAACTCAAAAAACTCAAATTCGAAATCGAGATGGAAAAAGGCCACGTCAACATCCTTCGTCACGACAACCAGATGCTTAGGCAATTGACGGTCGACATGCACGCATCCGCCGAACAAGAGGAAGAATACATTTCAAACAAATTGCTCAAGCGCATATCTGGTCTTAAGAAGGAAAAGGGAGAATTACTCGTTCAGGTCGAGCAAGAGGAAGAGTATCTTACGAATACTTTGCAAAGAAAGTTGAATCAGTTGCAGAAAGAAAAGATTGACATGGAAAATGCTTTGGAGCAAGAGCAAGAGTATATCGTGAATCGGTTGCAGAAACAACTGGACGCTTTGAGGCAGCAGGCAGGGTTTGGCTATCATTCAAGAGAAGGTAGCGCAGTCTCTGTATCGAACGCAAGTACGCCATTGTTACCTCCTGGATCACCCTCGTCAAGGTGCGCGCGCGGCTGGATGGCTTATTAGATGGTGGTCAACTAGCCAATAGTTGCATTTTCATATTACACGTAGAGCATAGTATTTACGTATTTTGTTGTCTTCTCCCTCCTCTCTCCCCTCCCCCCTTATGTTTAGTAGCAAAAAATGGCATTCTTCGCATTCCCCGACCACAGCCGATTTTCCAAACACATCTCCTGGTGTCGTCGAAGTCTTGCGTGCGGAAATTTCTTCACTAAGATCACGACTCTCAGAGATCGAGAAAGAATGTTCGTATTCATCTCCACACACCCACAACCTTCCCTTTCCATCTCTGTGTCTCTCAACGAAAGTCTTCTTTGACTATCATAACCCGTCATTTAATTGAATGGGTACGTTGTATTTTCCGCCTTCGTAGATGTTCACAAATCAAGCCAGGCGACGCGGCACAAGAATGAATTGATTGAACTAAGAAAGAGGCTTGGGATTCCTGCTGAAGATTTGCTTGTCGAGGAACCGTAAGTTTTTTGCTTGAAAAGCGGGATGTGATACGAGGGAGAGGTAGTGGGGGTTAATACAAGATTGGGATAAAAGTTTCGAGTTTCGTATTCGAGAACGTATTGGCGAGTGTTTTTGAATTGAAAATTGCATTGAATATAATAGGCCACCGGCTTTTCTCAAACACAACAGTTCGCGAGCAGTAAGTAGTCTCAATTGTTAAGAGTTGGATTTGCTATGATACTTTTTATTTGTGTTTTAAATACCTCGACTTTTTTCCTTGTCACAGGCAGCAAGACGTTCAAACTCGCATACCGTAAGCGCAAGCGCATCGTCCGCAAATCTTGTCCGTGCGCGAAGCGTAAGCGCCAGCGAACCAAATAAAAAGCCAGCAAATACGGGACTCACTTCGGAAACAGACAATCCATCTATACTACGATCGAGAAGTGGTAATAATACTCGAATCTGCTTCTATAACACACGAATTTAGTTTATTTTCAATACATTAAATTCGTTCTTCACCCGCGCAGTGTCAGCAACGTCAAACCCGAGATTGGCTTCGCAACGCGTATCGACTAATCCGAGTGGGTCAAGCACTCATTTGTCGTCGGATCATCACAGTCGCTCGAGTTCCACCCGATAAGAAATTAAAATTTTTTTCTTGCTTTGCTCATTCAACATGAGTTTAGCTAACGAAGCGGTCGGTGGTCACACGGATAGTTGCAGCTGAGACATGTAAGAAGGGTAATATGTCAAGGGCCAAATAATGAACAGTTGTTGAATACAACACGAGGAAGGTGGATGGACGCGCACGGGGGGGCGCGGTTAATAGAGATGAAGATTGTTTAGAACAGTATAATCAGCACATTGCGTCCTTGAATTCTTTCTTTTTTTTTCTTGCAAGGTTTTATTTCTGTATTTTCTTTTTTATTTACTTTTTTTTTCTCCACTAGTCTGTACATTTTACGTGATTTTTTTTTTTTTTTAGTTTGCTCTTTTAACTTGCTGAAGTAGAAAATAAAAAAGTCGTCTTGTAATTGTTAACGACGACCACAGCCACCGTTGCCACGAAGGCTGAACGCCACAACGTTATATATTGGTTAGTCCGGGCACACGATTTTCCCAGAAAAGGTTTTGTTTCAAGAATATGACCGAAACACAGATAGCCGAAATGTATATGGCTATAGTTAATCTAATCCAGTAGTGTTTCTGGCGTTCATTGTCCCTTAAATTAAAATACTACGGACTTTGGTTAGTACGAAATTTTAACAAAAATATGCTACCGTTCCGTGTTCGAAGTCAAGGATAGTAGTACCGGAATATTGAACGGAACGTAACATTCTCAGCAAAGAAGCGGAAATGTAGGAATGCGTATCTGTGGATATTTTGGATTTAAACTAGCATGCACGTTCCAACCTTAACAGTCTTTGGACTTTTGCTTTAACAATGTCGAATATAAATAAAGTTAGAGTTTTCTGTGTAATAATGTGTGGGTATGACAAATTGCTCGGTTTAGGAAGCACAAATCCAAAGATATTTGTGAGACACTCTATATAATCTAGCGCTAGAACAAAGGAGGCCGTTGAACTACCTGTTGTACTACATTACTATTACAGATCTGTTTCAGATCACAGCGTAGGGTTATCATATTCGTTGACATGAGATGTGGGTTATTGCTTTTTTGGTATAAAGTTTATGTAAAAAAAGTCAGAATACATTCCCATGAGAAAATGCTGTTCGTATTAATTAATATCAATACTATTGCTATTGGATATGTTTATCGAAACACGGATCTAAGAATCGGGAGACACAATAGTCACGACTAAACCGTAAATTTAGAACATATTAATGATTGCTTGTGAAGTAAGCATTTAAACTTGGTATATGCTAAAACTGTATTTACTACATTATAAATGCTTTGTTTTGCAATCAAATCAAATTCACCAAGGATAAATAATTAACTCGGATAAACCTATAAATACAGTAAGTGAGTCGAATTGGGTAGATAATTACTATATTTATATTGGTGTCCGTAATTAAAGTAACTAATCACTAATAGCCATCTATAACAATAAGTATACAGTCAACCCCGTTAATCCGAACCCCGTTTAACCGAATAAAGGACCAAGTAAAACCCCGCTAAACCGAAGGTAAGTTCTAAAACCTCTATTAAATTTATCCCGATAAACCGAATTTACTAATTGAACCCGTTAAACCGAATTTCTTGGCATTTCCCACCTGTGTTCTCGACCCACTTCGGTCTAACGGGTTTCACTATGTAATAGAAATATCAACATCATTCTCTCCGCATTCACATGCATAATTCTGGACTTCGTTTTGCCGTGTGCTATATGACAATTGGAGAACATACGTGGAGAGTCCAATGAAACGAGTATGACCAAATTCGCACCATGTTCTATTCAAACTAGCTCCTGCTTCGCCCACCAATACTTTCTAAGCCATTGTCCATTGTGAATCTAGTACTTTACACGATCATTCCTAAAATGTACACCACGCGTCAGTGTAACAATCCGGTTTACTACCGGATTAATTTTGCTTCGCCACTAACAAATCCTCTTTGACCAGTTTATTTTTGCTAAGCCATACATAGACAACCCCATTTCTCTTTTAATTGCATGTAAAAAATTTCGATTCCAGGCTATGCGATTGAGAAATGGTCTTGAACTAGAAAACAGCATGACTGAAAGTAAATTTGTACAAAAGCTCAAAGTTATTCTGAGCTATTTCCCTATAGTATTTCTGATATTGCTTATATCGTGGAGTTACTATGTCTTCGCTTGTAGATTATGTATATTATATTTATTGCCAAATTACCCCATACAAGGTACGGAATAAGAATTAAAAGTAAAGCAAATTATTGAGTTAGAGCAACAAGTCATCAAGATCAGGCTTTTGGTACTTGCTCACATGAATTCCGCATCTAGTGATGCTTCGATTGAACACTCGTTTCGCTGAAGAGTTTTGGTTGTTTTTTTCTTGTTTAGGAATAATATACCTTATAGTATACCACTTGTTACTGGCACTGATGATTTGGAGTTATTCCAAAGCGACTACAACATCACCTGGACATCCCTCAAAGGTAAATACATTTCTACTATCTTATGTAATCGTCAAAAGTGGCGAACTATTGTTGGCAATTATGACGACTATCAATTTAATTACGATTCCCCTACCAACATTCATTCCCTCCCTTTTCCCCCCATTCTACAATAGCATCCGACCCCACAACAACCATACAACCCGGTACCACCATCCGAACCCATGCAACATGTAGTTGACGTGGACGATGGTTCCAATGTCATAGTTGCAGAAACAGTCATAACTGTAAAGAATAACGGCAACAAACGATACTGTCAGAAATGCAAAGGGTTTAAACCGGATCGGACGCATCATTGTAGAGTTTGCAAAAAGTGTATTCTAAAGATGGATCAGTAAGTGTGTTTGTGGGTTGTGCGGATTTTGTCAACATTAACATACGAATTGCGAATCTAACTCTAAACATTTTCCACAACTGTTGTCATTACAGTCATTGTCCCTGGTAAGCTTTCTCTTCTGACATTTTCATTTCGTTTGTCTCGTCTTATGCTAGTTCTAATCAACGTTGCATTCATCATTCATAGGCTAAACAATTGCATTGGCCATAAGAACCAAAAGTTCTTTTATCTCTTCATCTTTTATGCTAATGTCTACTGTTTCTTTGTGTGTCTGACAACAGTTTTAGCCTGTGTCGAGTTTGTCAGTTCTTCACGAGAGGCATTCATCGAACTGGATCTTCATTGGACATTCTTGGTTCTTGTCTCTGGCGTATTTACGCTGTGTTTGGTTGGATTTGTCATTTATCATACAAACCTGATATGCAACAATCAAACTACGTTGGAGAGTATGCAAGTGAAGAATTATAAAGTGAAAGAGGATGGTGAAGTGACGACGAGTAAATATTTAAATTTGTTTGACGTTGGGACGAAGAACAACTGGGTACAGGTCATGGGACCTCAATGGTATTTTTGGTTTGTTCCTGTATATAATTCGTAAGTATTCTTTGTACAATGTATTCAAAGTTGATGTTGGCGAAGTGAGTAATCGCAATAATATACAATGTAATTAATTTATTGATTAGATACGGTGATGGCAAAACATGGCCTCTCAATTCACATCGTTACAGTACATTACGTGATTCAATTGATGAACCTCCTCTATCTCGGGCATAATATTAAAACATATATAATAAACTTTTGGTTAGCTTTTTACCCCAAAGTTAATGTTCGTGTTGTCAATTCCACAACATGATTAGATATTATTATAGCACTATTTGTTTGGGCATTAAAAAGTAGGGATATATGTATATACGTATATTTCACGCATTTCTAGATGCAGCGTTTCACACTACAACGTGTTTCTGCTTACATGTCAATGTATAAAAGTGAATGCTTTATGCAAGCCACAACTGACAATTAAAACATTTGCAAGACTCACATATTCATTGTACAATACTCTCGCTCGTAAGTGTAAACCACCGATACAGCACAATTCATTGATATTTATTGTAGAAACAATTCGTTGTGACTTGCACACAACGAACAGTGCTTCGAACACAAAGACAAAGGTCTTGTTAACGACTATAATATTAAAAGTGATTTATACAGAAATTGAGAATTTAACACGTAGCGTTCAAGATTCAATAACATAATTTCTTCAAATCCATTTTAATTCAATCATCCGTGCTTCAACCTCTTCCATAGTTGGGATACTATCCATTGCACCCTCTCTAGTCACAGCCAGCCCACTGGCAACAGTGGCCATCTTGATTGCATTTTTCATTCTCTCTCCGCTTACAGGTTCATCGACAGAAAATCCCCGTATCAGACCAGCCACATAATAACCGGTAAAGCAGTCACCGGCAGCGGTTGTATCCCTAGCTACAGACTTTACTGCATCCCATTGAAACACGTCATCGTCTCCTTTGAATTTAGCAATCACACCATGTCGACCGAGTGTTATTATGATTGTAGTGATACGAGGAAAAGCCGCAGATATATCATTCATTATTATACGCAAGTCTGAGATGTCGTCAGTCTCTCTTCCAGCAATATCGTCAGACCGCTGTTTGCTATCGGAATTACGGGACAGTGAGAGTTGAGGATGGATTTGGCGCGCCTCGTGTTGATTGAGGATCAAGTGGTCAACATGGGAGAAATCGAATTGTTCGGTGATGTTTGGAACCATTGGCGCGGGGTTAAATACGACAACCAGACCTGAAGATGCAAAGGTAGGGAGGGAGTTTAGTCAAGCAATATTATGAATGAAACAAATGAGTAGGTAAATTAGCAAGTAAAGAGACGAGCAAAATTAACGTAATGCTAGCTAGCGAACCATCACGCTACCTTTATCTTTGAATAGTTTCACGATTGCCCCTCCATCATTTATCTCATTCTGCATTACCAGCCAGTCTCCCCTATTGAAATGTCCCAGCACGTTTGTAGCATCTTGAGATGTTATTTGATGATTGGCACCAGAAAGGAGTACAATCGCGTTATCATGTGTCGCCCTTGATACTTGAACAATAGCTCTGCCCGTCGACTGTACATTAATAAATGCGTCACCCGAATCGTATGAATGGAATAATATGCATACGTGAAAGACTGATCGGCCTATATTCGCGACTAGTTTAGATGCACAATTACCTGCGACTTGGACACGTGTACGTTGTCCATATTGACACCAATAGAGGTCATGTAATCCTTAATCCATTCACCATCTTCACCAATCTTCCCAGCATGATAGACGTTCTTTATAGCTGCCTTGTTATACAACAAATTAGGTTAATCGATAACATTCAACAGTGGCAATTCTCCACGAAAATAACACGGCCTGATTAAAAAAAAATTCTTTCAGATGACACACATACTTTGGCTATGGCAACAGATTGATTTGCTCCTGCGTGAATTTGACAATAAAAGGTTTCTTTACCATGTTGAGGTTTGTTTATAAAATGTCATGCTTTTCTGAAGCTACCTTTTCCACCTGCTCTCTTTTGATATCCAGTACTGAGTAGTGTCTCTCCACTTTGCACGATATGCGGTACTGCGAAAAAGTCGTCCTTATTGTATCATTAGACAAGTCAGTATCTTTAAATAGATATATATAAGGCTGACGATGATCGGCCTGTATACACAGCATACAATGTTGATAGACCCGAATACGAGCACTTTTGGCTCAGATGAAGACATTAATATCGTATAGAAACACGTGGAGTTTTACCGACTAGATATCCTGGATATTTTACGTTGATCACATATTTTCAGGGCTTAGTATTAGTGATCATGGGAATGTCCCTTGTACAGGGTAGCAATGTCACGAATAACCAATAGAATTCGCAGGCATCAAGTCAAATAAATGACTACTGAAAATCGTTTGCCGCTGTCCCATTTATTCAGGAAGAGTTATCACTTAGCGGACTTGACGAATTTATCGAAACCACAATATAATCACGCATTCAACGATTTTCCACTATCGAATTAACGTTAATAATGGAGCAAAGTCCTAATTTTTATCATGGATCTTAATGACTAAACGTAAGAACTTGTTTGTCTGTCAACTCGCAAGGTTGAATTTTCGGATTTACACATGCCGAGAAAAAAAAAAGGAAATGAACAATAAAGAAACAAGGACTCCCTGACAACTTCAACTTAGACGAGAGCGCGCAGAAACATCAGCAATCTATCAACGCTTAAAATCCCACGGTCATCCTCCCATTAATAAATATGCTCTTATTCATCATTCTACAGAATAATAAATTAAAATCCATTAAATACATCGTGTCCTAAGAAGATTCCTTCATGCTATTTGCCAACATGGCCTCTTTGAGGCTCCTTCGCTTTTCGTCGTCCTTTACAAAGGCCTCGGCTATGTCAGCTATTTCTGGATCCTTATCAACTTCCTCCACTGCTTGAGCAATGGCGCGTTCCTGTTTTTTACGTTCTTGAAGCTCGACCTCTGACCTGCTGGGAGGGAGACGCTCGTTATCGAGATCAGAGCGTCGTGCCTCTTCAAATGAGGTAATGGCTGTTAAAGGTCAATAAGTGTTGTTCAGCAATACGTCAGCATAGATACGCGTGGAAACAATGCAATTATCTTGGGTTATATACCTTTTTTAATGCCTTCAACTCCCAGGGCGAGGGTGCCATACGGCAGTTTTCCTGTTCCAGTGACACTTTTGAGTTCCATAACGCGTTCGGATTCTTCTCTATAGAGCGTAAAAGAATACATCTTTGAATATCAACACTCATTAAACCAACCAAAATAGTAAATGACACGTTTACCTGAGAACGGAAAAAACTCTAGCCATTTTGCCTACAGCCAGGATTTTATTCCTAATAACTTGACGCCTCTCTGCATTTTCTGCCGGTGTTTCTTCGACTAATGAGTAAAAGAATTTAGTATGAACGAGGATAATTTTTACGTATGTAATACAACATCTGGTCTATCTCATAGTATTACCCGGTGTTTTCACATCTGCCGTTAATTCATCATCCAATTCTTCTTTACTGCAGATATTCAGGATGGCCAGTAGCATATCCGTAACTATTACGCAATGTAAAATTAGAACGCATATTAAGTAAACTGTGTTGAGAATGATGTCCAATATTCTGTTACGTGAGTTCAATCGCCTATCAATTGCATGCACCATCTTTATCTGTTGATACGTACTCTTTTCGCCTACGAATGGTAGTGACCAAGTAAATACATCCATAAAGTTAGGCAACCAGTATGGATGTGCTGTGTAATTGAACTGCCGAATGTTCATGACATTATTTTCATACTTCAGTACGGCAGCTGCCAGATAAAGAATGTTAGCATTATATTGAGAATAAAATAACTCGCCTACACTAACCCCAAGATTATGAATCACAATTAACCTTTGTTGTTGTAAATATCGAGATAGTTCGGTGCAGAGAAAATGGTCATCACTGACGGAAAGCCCGTTGATTTTGTCTTTCGATACATTCGATATCTGAACGAGGGTCAGGATGCCAAGTTAACGAAACGACGTAATAGTAAGACTGTCAGCATAATGACACTTCCAGTCTAAATTTCAATGCCTTTAATCTCCAAAAGTTCATACCCTGCATCCTGAGCTTCATGGGCTCGAATAATAGACAGGAGATTGTTCTTCTCCAAGAATGCACATGCAGCATAATAACTGTATACAAAATTTTATATAAGTATGCGTGATGTATGTCTACCAATATATTCACGTCAGCTCGGGCTTACCTGAAGAAATATGAACATCCCCTCACGTGATTCTGTATGAAACATTCGTTTGTCTTCTCGGAGCCAAAGTCTTCTAACGGATCAGCCCACAGCAAATCACACATTAAGCCATGGGTTGGAGGTTCTCTAAATCGATCAATCTAACAAAGTAAGAGAAAATAGATTGACATAATGAGGTTTGTAAATAAGCATAATTATATGTATTAGTCACACATCATAGCATGCATACACTACGCAAGTCATCCAATGTATTTAGTTCGGGGGAAAGTCCTCCATGAATACATAGGAACTGTTTATTCATTATAGCAGCAAGTGGAAGTGTACAAAATGATGCCATACAAGCATCATATACGGCTTCCGTGTATTTGTGCTTGCCTATTTAAAGAATATAGCATTAGTCATCGATATCAGACACGTGAGCGCATTGAAGATAGTATCAAAACTCCAACACTTACATTCTATTTTGAACGTAAAGTAGTCTGTCAAATGGCTGCATTCATGATTACCACGCAACAGGAATAAGGTATTAGAGTACCATATCTTCAAACTCCATAAGTAGAGGACGCACTTGAATAAAGACGAGAGATGGGTGTTTATCATCAAAACATTAGGACACCAACACAGCATTTGATGTTGATAGAAATAATAAAACGCATACCTCAATAGAAAAGTATCCTCTATCAACATAGTCGCCCAAGAACAAATACCGAGTTTCGGCTGGATTACCACCAACTTCAAACAACTTCATTAAATCATAATACTGTCCATGAATGTCTCCACATACTGTCAACAGACAAAGTCTCGTAAGTAAAGAATGATAAATATGTAGCATACATTCACCGTACCACCAAGATAATGAGCATACATTCACTATCTACCCATCATATATTAACTGATCACTACTCAATCAGTAATGATTGTATTCATTTGCATGAATGACAATTAGCCCATTGATTAATATTCTCAATAAGTCCTTCCATAAACCTCTCACTTCTTCCTTACCTGTTATGGGAGCATCAACCTCAAGTAGATTAGGTTCTTGCCTTAATATCTCCGTTCCTTTGTTAATAATATCCAATGCTTGTTTTTCTGTAATTCTGCCTTCCCGATAAAAATGATTCTTTAAGAATGCAATATCTGGTTTGGTCGGGTCTTCTTTAGAGTAGAATTCTTCGTCTGTGGGCAGATTAACAGCAGGCGCTTGGACCTCTGAATATTAAAAGATATGGTATTAAAACTCTGGAAATACATTGAGTAAATAATACTTGTTGACACGAGATGAAAATCGTGGTTTGGTGAATGGGTAGCGAAAGAGATGAGAAAAGTATTGGGGTGCTAAAATCACGCGCTATCGCATATAACTGACTTGAAAGTCGTGGCATATATTGTTGCAGGGAAGCTATAATAGGGAAGTTCGCAGAACATACTACATACTGTCAATGTGTGAAAAAATTAAGCAAACATTAACCTTTGCAGTATCGATCTAAAGTCGATACTTTGGACCCATCCTCCATTTCATGAATCGTGAAATCGATGTCTGGCACTGGGCCTCTGTTTTCCTGAAGCCGTTGGAGCGCTGCATTGGCATCGCGCGGCAAACTGTCGCTGGGCTCGTTGTCAGGCATAAATAAATACTTTTCTGTTACGTTAATCTCGGATCGTAGCAGGAAACGCCCAATAAACACGAGCTTTCCTGTTGGGAGACTAAGTGCGTTCGGCCTTTATCTCTAATACTTTTTGCTCTCGAATCAGATGGTTGAACTTAGATCTCACATGATACCAGGATATGACACAGGGTGCTCATCAACAATAACAATAGTAATAGTAACATGCAAAAAAAAAATATCGGTCCCGTGATGTTTGTTATTTTACTGTGTTGCAGTAAGAGTAAAAGCAACACTATTATATTTGCCTTATTTATTCTTTCGACGTAACGGTAAATCACTGCAGACTACACTAAGCCAGAAGATAAGTTTATTGCCTTCTAGCGCTAGTCTGAGGAATTTATGCATACTTAATTTAAAATTTTATAATATAGTTCTCCCGACCAAAAACCATAGTACAATCGTCCGTGTTACATTGTGTGCTTCACACAAAATAGACAAACAAAGGTACGTATGCCCAATTACAATGCCGTTCATATTAGAAGCTTCGTCTATGTCTTGTAACTAAAGCACGTGAAATTTTTTATAATCAAATTAAATTCCCTGGCAAGAGGAACATAATTGTTGCAAACGAAGAAGACAAACTGGGACTTTGTTCAGTCTTCGGTATCTTTAAGCTGCCGTATACAGTGTATTAATATGTTAAAAAAGCGAATTGGACGCTGGTACACATCATCACCTGGGAAGTGAGCAGATTAAGATACACAAAGCGCTAAACAGGTATGAAGTCACAGAGAACCTATGTTACATTTCAAACCGCCGTGATAAATCACGAAACAACCGTAAACGGATAGCGAAGAATTGAAGTTTTGATTTCTTACGAAACTTTTTTTTCTTAGTACTCATTAATAATAATCGCTTTAATAAAATACTAACATTATCGTACCAACAGAAACGATAGTCGTGATGATTTTTAAACAGTATTGATTTAATCAAGATACATATTTTGTTCTTTAATGTATCATTAATCGATTAGATAGTAATATTACTAAAAATAATAACATTTTTAGAGAATCGGAAGAAATATTCTGGAATTATATTTTGTTTGTTTTCTGGTATGTTTTATTCTTGTGTAATAAATTAATAAGTATGAAAACTTAAGATTATGGACATTTAATATTTATTACGTTTCGCGGTTCATAATATTAGACGATAGGCGATCAAATTTCGGTCAATGAATAATTCACTTCGAATCTCATAAAACTGACAACTACTTTGGGAGAAATATCTTGGGTTGGCTGTTTGCTCTCCTCATTGCTACCCCTTAGTTTCACTACTTCGGCCTTCAACTCATTCTCGGCTGAAGAATCTGTCTTGTTTTTCTCCAACTCTTCAATTCTGGCCTTGAGTTCGGCATTCTCAACATCACGTCTCTTACTCTCTTCCAAAGTTTGTCTTAGAAGCTCGACAATCCTAGCCTTATGCTCAACTTTCTCGGACTCAATATCAGCAAACTTCCTTTTAAGATCAGGGATCTCAGTTCTTATCCTTAATATTAAGTTCAGCATTCTCCTTTTTAAGTTCAAAAATCTTAGCATTCTCCTTCCTAAGCTCGGCAATAATTCTCTTAATGAATCAATGGATTGCATGTTCGATAATAATTTTATACAGGATGGAATAATTCAAAAGTTCATTAGCATAGATAAACAACCCGTGACAAAATGTCACACTAAATGCGACTTTATTGATACAGAATAAAATAAAACATAATTCGGCTACAACATAAGACTTGTTTTAACAAATGAATGGCGTTTCTATACTAATGCCTGCCAGTTTATCACTTGTCTAAACTATAATAACACATTATGAGACTAGCAACTATTAACCTTAACAAAGCCTTGACAATTCACAGCCACTGCGTGATTATTGATATAAAAAAACACCAGTAATCATTTTGATGAAAAAAATTTTCTCACAATGCCGGTAAGCAACATTGAAGAAAAACTTGAATTAGCAAAAAACAAACTGCTCGAGCTTGATAGGGAGGAAAGTTTAATAGAAGAGAGTACACCGTCAGAGAGAACAACGCCAGAGAGTACAATAACAGAAAATACAACGACAGAAAAGTCAAGAAAAATTGTAGTTTTTAGTGACGTGTCACTTGAAAGATATCGCAAGTTTCGTGGAGAAGGGGAACTGAAAAAGTCCAACATTTATGTCCGTCTAGTTAAGGGAGAAGTCATTGCATACGAAGCGCCTAGTTCTGCTCACGGATTCGTAGCACTAGAATTGGCTTTTAAGTTGAAAAATTGGAGCAACCAACTTAACGTTATTAGTGAGCAGGACATTACCACTGGTAATAACAGTGAGTATTGTGCTGATGTTGTAGCTGAGCCAAGACAAATCCCGCCACCTGCACCCGGATACGAAGCACAACCAACAATCATTATAGAAGTGGCAAAATCCGAGACCCTCAGTAGCTTGAACGATCTGGCACCAGATTATTTTTCAGCTTCAACTCAAATATATTTGGCGATAAAGATATTTCCTCGTCGGCAGGACTCAACCGCAGCAATGCTTGCGATTCTCTACTTACGTAACAACCAGGTTCCAAATCAGGCAGCAAATGTTCCAAACCCGCCACCAAATATATCACCCATGATAGTAATGGCGAACACGATACCAAATATTGCAATATCATTTGGAACGGCACCAATTAATTATCAACGAGCAGCGTTTATTAAAAATACTGGTATACGAAATGATAGGTTGACTGGATTCGTACAAAGTAATGATATTCCTTGTACACGAGCCGGTATGCAAAACTACCAAATAACTATCCCCGCGAACTTGCTTTTCCCCGGAGGTGTTCCCGTTGGTGTACCAAATAATTTCGTCATAGACCTGTGGGAGGTTCAGCAAAATGCTTTGTATTATCTGGTGTGTATTGCTTTCACGCTTCTCTGATATATTATTATCAGTATTTACTAACTTTTTTTTTGGCATTTTTAGCGATAATATCAAATCTTCTAGATATTCACCATATTTACCTAAATCTGCTTTTGCTTATATGTTTCCCAAATCGCATATTTAATAAAAATTTTTTAGAAGTTTTAGAAAATTATTAAAACAAGTGCACTTATAAGTCTATAATAAATTCACATAAACAAGTTAAAAAAATACAAGACCAATACCGTATATGGTTTTTTTTTTATTAATACACGCAAAAAAAATAAATACAAGGGACTGTGCCCGTGATATAAGATATTTTTTTGATCCTAACCCTCTTACTAGCGGGGAACTATCAACACTAACCCGATCCTTCAACAACCTAACAATAATACCTATTACCCTTTTCACGTTGCTTCGAAGTAAATCAGTATTTTTTTAACGGCAGATTAATTTGGTGTTCGCTTCCACTCGTAGAGTAGGAGTATATATGATAAAATGCCATTCTGTACCCGTGGTCACAATACCATAGATAGTCAAATAGTCGTTCTCAAACGCTTGATCCGCAGTTCGTTTTTTCTTAATTGTTTGGAATGCATTTTCAAGTTGGGCCAGATTTTAAGAAATAAATGTGTTAAAAAAATGATAATTTTTTACAAATTATAAAATGCGTGTAAATGCTAAGTTTTATAAACAATTTACGACGCGTTTTTATAAAATAAATAGTATCTCCTAAGCCATTTGTAAACAGATTGTTAACTAACTTTATCTTGTATTATTCCCGGAAAAGAAATGCCATCCTCGATTCAAGAAAGACAACGCCAAGTCATATTACATTTTGGACACAGGGTATAACCAACGCGAACGAAATACAGAAATTAACTAACATTCCCATCGCCATTATTTACAGAAATGTGAAAATTAAATACAAGAGGTAATAATAACAGAAAAAGGAAAGTGGACGTCCTCGAAACAATTCGGGCAATATATGCATCGTAATCCAATGCTGTCTACTCAAACATTGGCAAGTAAGTTACTGGCAATGACACAGATGCATTACGTATGACCAATATCACGACATTCGGCCAAGTTAAATTAAGAAAATAGTCTTCTCTTAGCTACTCCGATCTCCTACTTAATTTCTCAAACTCCATGAGAAGCAGATGTGAGCAAGTTATTCAAAATAAAGGAGTTGGATCAATTAATTATTAATGTTTAGAATAAAGACAGCCACTTTCAAGCTTTAACATACAATTTTCTGTTTGTACATTTATATACTCGTTCTCGAGCAATGAGCAAACAAAGAATTATCATTTTTGTTACATATATAAAAAATTGTATACCAATTATAATACTGTAGCTCTCTTGAATAAGGACTACCTTCATCATATGAGGGGTCTGTGTTGTCTTCGTTTATTACAATATAGTCGGTAGACAATGAGGGGATTAAGGGGTTAGTTATTTTGTAACATTACAGGCCCTTATTCATGGTAGGACTTTAATCCTTTGTCGAAGCTGCTCCGCTTCTCCAACCTGCATTTAATACTGACATTATCAAGTCAGCTTGTTGAATAGGAAATGTAAAAATTGGAGAGTTTACAGTATTCTTTAATATTGTCTAGAATCCTCGTTTTCATTACTACAATGTCTAGTAATACAAACACGACCGCAATTATATTATAGCACGTATATGGAACCTGTGGCTATTTTAATATGTCTAATGTTCTACAATTTTCCAACACGTCTTTCTAATGTCTCCATATGATTAATTTATTCTGCCGCCTTTGGCAGTAATGTCAACTAGTTTTGGGGGGAAAGATTTCGTTCTTGGCTAAGAAAATTAAAACTCTGGAGAAAACATTAAAATTTCACACTGCCTCGGGTATTTTGTCTACAAGGTTCAACCAAATTTAAATTTGTTTAAGTTTCCACAATCAGAGTTTTCGTCATTATTATGACCATTTGCGGACAAATAAAAGGCCGGATTTTTCGAATGGCGCGCTTGTTTCGGGTTACGGGATATACTCAATTAGCGGACACGCTTCAACTTTTACTTTTTCCTTTCCTATTTTTTTTTTTTTTTTACTTTTAAATTTAAATTTTAGCAAAGACTGGTATAGGTAAAAAAGCCCCAATACATTGGCAACAAAGGTCAAAAAAAAATTTTTTTTAAAAAATACCTCAATCTCATGTGGTTTGGGCAAACAAACATAAATCAGTTGGATTTTCGACCTTAAACATTTGAATAAGATGCATAACTGGAGCGACAAAAAAGACCAAACTTTAGCGCTAAATTGAATGATGATATTAATATCAAGAAACTCAACAATTTATTAAAGTCATTCTGGGAGGGAAGATAACGTCAACAAATGCTAACTGAAAGTGACACAATGCACTGATGACGTTATGCAGGGAGGCATTTATTTCATCGACACTCATTTCATCGACAGTACACTTCACCGACAGTCATTTTACGTGACACATTGTTTATCGCACTTATCATTGGTTTTCGATGAAATTTATGTCGGTGAAACGAATGATTGTCGATGAAATGAACCGGACCCCGTCATGCATTCGCTCTGTAGATAAAGCAAATCAAAAACTTACCTTTATTACTAGCAGCTTACTCAATCATGAAAGCATCAAGTGATGCTGTGGACGCAACTATAGCACATATGACAAAACTGCTGCGATCACCAGACGATCTGGTGAAGGTTAGCTTGTTACGTAAAAGGTTTGCCAAAGAGAAAGCAACAACCAATGCGCAATTGAAGACAGGGGTTAAGACACAGTTAGATAATACCAGACAGGGTTTAGAGACACTTGATACGTCCAGAAAGGAAATGGTACTCATAAAAAAAATATGCAAGGAATAGATAAACTTTGCTCTTCAGCACAAGGAATGATACAACACTTTCCTAAGATTAGTAAGGTCATGGATAATTTGATAATATTTAATATTTATTACGTGTCGCGGTTAGACGATAGGTGATCAAATTTCGGTCAATGAACAATTCACTTCGAATCTCATAAAACTGACAATAGCATTGTCGTATGTTAATGTCAACCGAATATTTTTCAGCTTAATAACAATCTATTAATTAAATTTTCTAAATTAACGTGTCCCGTGTTAAAATATGAAATCCTTGTTCTTACTTCATTTTTGTTTTCGATTTGTTTATCAGTTGTATTACGGCACTTTAAATGTCTAAGTGTGGATTCACGGTTGTTATATTCCTGCTTATTATTTCCAAATTGGATACGCGCAAAACGAAGCAAGCGCCTGGACATAAATGAGTGGACACTTGCAGATCATCGAAAAAATTAATGATATATTTATCGTATACTAAACTTTTATTTTTACCAAGTAAATTACAAACGATGCTCTAAGTAAAGTTGTTAACAATATTAACGTGCATGTATTCTCATTTTCATGAAATATGATCACGTAAATTTGTACTAACAATTTTCAAACTTTGGTTGTCGAACTTCGATTATAAGACAACTTTAAAAAATTTCGTTTTAACGTATTAGTATCTTATTTAATTAAGTAAAAACGTTTGAAAAGTCTTAAAATAGTAAATATAAATTTTTACAGTGAGGCTGATACTATTCTTACTTACGGAAACAATCGTGACAGTCGATATATGTTACACTAGGCAATATATCGATACCCGTTTATGTTTACTATTGGTTGACAGTCGCAGACTCTCACACTCCTTACTGTATATAGGTAACAGTATTTATACAGGACAGTACGACAGCAATTAATAATATAAGTAGTACGAACACGCGTCTGCTCATACGTACAATATATCACCCAAAACTCGAATCTCGACCGGCATTTAAAAATCTATCCACCCCCCAAATCAATCGAGAGTCGATTGATTGGTTGAACATACCCAGACGCCAAACCACGCGCTTTTGTTATTATCACTATCATAGGAATCAGTTTAATTAAATTTATACGCGTGACTTGTCAGATTTGTTAACCAGTGGAAATTATTTACAGCGACTGTCACGATTGTTTCCGTAAATAAGAACAATAGTATCAGTGTAATATTCCGGAGCACATGATGTAATGATGTGTTACACTAGGCAATATATCGACACCCCGTTATGCTTTACTATTGGTTGACAGTGATCGTTGTGGCATGACTCTCACACGACAATATTTATACTTATAAGATTGCGCACGACAACAATATCAAGTGTCATTTAACATGCGAACACACGTCTACTAATGCATATATATATACCCTGACGCTCCTCTCCATAGCGCATGTATTGCTTCACAACAACTTCTCCTCCTCCAAAGCGCAAATACAACGTTATCAAAAAGTTAATATACAACAAACAACGCCCTTTACTGCTACTACTCCATATTACGCACATACGACAGTTTGCCACAACTCACGAACAAGTCCTCAAATAACGAACTCTTAACATCAATAAAACATGGTTTATCGACCACATAACCGACGAAAGAGTTCGCACAAGAGCGAGTATTCCGGCCTTCCACACACTGACGTACTACACAACGCACACAAGTCTGCTTCTCTATTATTAACGTATATCGCACTGAATAGTGATAACGAAAGTTGTTATCGTACGTTTATTAATTTATTCACATATCAACGTCTTTTCAACAAAAGGTGTCTTTTCGTCTTCAGTAAAATAAATAATCGACATTACGAATAGCTAAACTAACTATTATAATATCTATTATACACTTAGAAGTTACATGCGAGTCACTTTCTCGATATCAAGTTTCCCGACACATGATCTCGCTCTTCCCGCTACTTTAACAACTCGCTCTATACTAGGATTGCTTTTGACTGTATAACAAAATTGTGATGCTTTATTACTTCGTCAACATTCTAATCGTCGCGCTAAGTCTACTCAACGTATTTGCCAACGCCAACCAAACGATATACTATGTATTCCGATCAACTACTGACCTGTTACCACAACCCTTCTTACTGAAAAGAGTCGGCAACAATCCAGACCGAACCTAACCTTCAGGGACCTGATATTAGAAGCCCCCAAATCATAAAGCTGAAAAAAGTGCGGTAGTAGAGGAAAGCGGCTCAACCGTGAAGAAAGGAAGCAATATTTTAAGGGTGGTTAAAGTAGTAACATAGACATAGTTTTTAATATTTGTTAGCCATTCTATTAATTAACATATTTTATAACTAGTGGAACTTATATTACTTAAATAGAGTAGTAGGACTTAGAGTGTAGTCTAGAGCTGGGAGCGAAGAGCCGAAGAGCAAACTGCTGGCACAGTTTGAAATCTTTCAAGAACGGCTCAACGCTATTAAAGAGGGGAGGGGACAGCGATTTTATCAAGTGATTTCTGCAGTACTGAGATAGAGTAGTTCAGGATGATGGTTATTTCGCAGCTCTACTGAAATCTAAGTCCGAAACATTTAATTACGCGGTAGTTAGAAAAAATTATAAATAAATATTCAGGCTGTCCATGTTCATAGTTCATCCATTGACTGATGACTTGAAGTCTGAAATTTTAACTCTTGAACTATCGATAAATGAAATCCAACCGTCCCTAATGGTCAAATAAATTGACTTGTAGATTTATTATTTATTTGTTACTCAAAAACAAAATAATAATAATAATAATATAATAATAAACCAAAATCATTCTTTACTTCACACGTTCTGGTTTTCCGAAACTGAATATGTTAAATTTACGCTACCACGAGTGACTTGTAATAGGACACTTGATAAGATATCGCTATTTGAAATAATGCGTTGGCTTAGAAAGAGGGGCAATTCAGAAAGCTGTATGCACTCATTCAGGTACGTTTTTACGTTGACTATGGGATAAAAGATTGGCGTTCTGGGAGACGTATCTAATTATATGATACTATTTTTACGTTTTGGATCATTATTCGACCAATTTTTAATCTTACGCTGTAAAAATTTATATTTACGTATTTTAAAACTTTTCAAACGTTTTTACTTAATCATATAAGTTACTTTATAATCGAAGTTCGACAACCAAAGTTCGAAAATTGTTAGTACAAATTTATTTCGCTTAATATTAATTAAACCTTTCTTCATTAAATATGTAGAATACATGCGCGTGAATATTGTCAATAACTCTACTTAGAGCATCGTTTGTAATTTACGTAGTAAAAATAAAAGTTTAGTATGCGATGAGAATCGTTAATTTTTTCGATGATCTTCATGTATTGATTTTGGTATACATGCTAATGATACTAATTACGATTTTTGAATTAATATTAAACTAGATAGTATTTAAAATACGCGAAAATAATATTAATATTAATATTTTAAGGCTACAGTACAAGCAGAAAACAAACCAAATGATACAAATGTAAAAGATAACTGTTATTCCTGTCAAATAAACCGCACCTGTATGTCACGAAAGTTGATCTGTCAATAAAATAGTCAGCGAAGAGCCAGGCATAGACTTATCATAACGTTAAAAGTATTAAAGATGGTCAACTTATACATGTTAATCATACTACGATATCTAATAGACTTTAATGTCAACATCCAAATAAATTGACCCGTATACACTGAGAATGTAGTTTAAAGTTACACACAATATTGCTGTGCTACATCTTCTCGGAGCTGCCGTTCTTTCTTTGACAATGTCTCAAATATCTGATAATTCGTACAGAGAATGGCTACGCGAAAGCATTCAAGATGGTTCCATCTATTGCTGCCCAGAAAATGATATAACATTAGACTTGAAACATATCGGTTTTGGAGCATTTGGAGTGGTGTATAAGGCAACGGTGAGGCCGGGCAGCAGTTTCGAAATTATTGTCAAGACGATGCTAGGCGAGTGGCACAATGGTTTCTCTAGCATGACTGTTGCGGTGAAAATGCTACGGTCATATGAATATGGGGATTGTGAAGAAGATTTTCACCGACATTTTGTCAAAGAGGTTGTCCATTATTTCTGTTCTGTTACATACATATTTGCGCCTAGACTAATGATTGGAACAAATGTCATCCGCTAGCTAAAGCATCACAAGGAAGCGAACAACCACCCTAACATTATTCATTTTCTAGGCCTATATGAAGGTTTGTTCATAAGTGAATAGTTGATTGACTTCATACAAAGACAATTTTTCATTATTGTCTACTTTCCGTATAACAGACAAATACGCTAATTATCATATGATCTTCGAACTGGCTGACGGTGGAAGTTTGCGTAAACACTTAGAGAAGCACTTCAAAGATTTAACTTGGAAAGATAAATACAAGTTGGGCTTGGAAATTACCAATGGATTGAAATATTTGCATGACCTGGATATCATTCACAAGGATTTGGTATTTATCGCACATGTTGTTGTATCGTATGAGCTTGCATTATTAATTATCAAAACTGATTACAATAATTTTGCTTTTACTAGTCTTCCAGTAATATTCTAATCAAATCAGGAGTTGCAAAAATAACTGATTTCGGTCTATCAAGTGTACTGAAACAAGTAATGTCCAAATCGCGTGGGTATGGCGCTCCAGCATATAAGGATCCGATATCTTTATCTTTGAAGAATAATTCGTATGAACATGGAAAAAAAGCGGATATTTTTAGCCTTGGAGTAATACTATGGGAACTATCTAGTGGACAAATGCCATGTGAAGGGCGCACTGAAATTGTTCATATTATTGTGTATAGGCTTGAGGGTTTTCGTGATCCACCATTCTCTGGAACACCTGAAGAATATGTTAATCTGTACTCAGAATGTTGGAATGAAGACCCTAGTAAGCGGCCATTTTGTGAACAAGTTTATGAGCAGCTGATGTATTGTGATAAATTGAATGATCTTAACAGAACATTGGAGATTGAACCAAATAACACACATGCATTGAATAATAGGGGAGTTGTCTATGGGAATCTAAAACAATATGACAATGCATTGATTAGTCTTAGCAGAGCATTGGAGATTGAACCAAATAACACAGATGCATTGTGTACACGTATTTCAGAGTATGAAGAACTATTCATTTATTAGAAATGTTTACAATATAATTTAGCGACGTCTAACATGATATTTCAGCGCTGTAAATGTCCACGCGCGGTTGTGTTACTGCTGTACTATTACTAATATCGAAAATTCTTTGTGATACCATCGGAGTTACGCAGAAATTTACATGTCATAATTAAATCCTGAAGTTGGAGAATCGAAAAAAAAATTGAAGGTGTCCGGATACTTTTGCTATAAGGTAGCCGAAGTTTATGCACGGTAAATCTTTCAGATTCCAAAGATGAATCGCTATCCTGGAACCGGCACTTTAATATTGCCGACAAACTGCAAAGTTAGATTCATCTGAAGAACTTGTAGGTACTGATTATTGATTGCCATACGGTACATATTCCAACGATCAAATTGAAGATCAGCATTCCTATATTGTTACTATCTGATGTTGTTGGTGTTGTGAAGCAGTTAGTTGTGGATTCGATTGTCGAGGTTAGACATAATTTAGAATGGAGTGTATTAATTGGCGACTTTGTTGTGATGATGCAAAGATTACCACATGTTCGATTTCCGTACGGACCATAATACCAAAAAACCCATCTAGAATTATTGCCGGTCCCATAATAGCCTCCAGAAGATCCTCTGCCTCCACTACTACTATTGCCACCTCCGCCTCCCTTAGATAGTACAGAGCTTGGAAGTATTATGGGTAATATCAATAATATATATATTGAACGCGTCCTGAGCTTCATTTTTGAACCGGTGCAAGTTGTTGTGGGTCTGAGCTTTTTAAATGCCTGGATTTAGGATTTGCACTTGAACGCCAACAAATAGAATAGTTTGGTCTGGGTTCTTAGAATGTACAGTCAACTCTTTCTATACCGGCACGAGTGTTTTGGCAGTTTCTGGCCGTTATAACGAGAGACCGGTATATAAAACTGTTACACAAGTAGGAAATCGTGTAACTAATAATTAATAATTGTGCGTTATATCTTGAGTTTGTTTCAAATGTCGATTCTTGCGAAGTTGAGCAGCATGATCGTCCTCATTT